AGGTGGATGAACATCTAGCAGCATTAGTTTTGTTATATGCAACAAAATGTTGTGATTTTTCATTCAAAACATGTTTCTTGAGTATGTCATTTTTTGGCTTCTAAAAYTCTAGAAATAAAAGAACTTCAAGAAATTTTAGCTTTTCAAAAGATATAATGAAAYAATTTTGATTCTCTGAAGTACTATTTTTTGTAGTAATACATATGAATGATGTTTGGATATCATGATGTAAAGACTTCRTGAATGTTTGTGTGTGTTTTAATTTTCTACAGGTAGTTGGTGGGGACAATATCTTTTTTTGTTGATTATCTTGTGCCCCTTCATTGGTTTATCGCATGATTTACATATTGGGACTTTTCTTGTTCCTCGTTCTGGTGGAGGCGCTACAAGTTCCTCCAGTTCGGTATCTGAAATCAGTCATAGTTTGGACATATTTAGATAAAGAGAAGATATATCAAATTAAATCCATATGTCTTTTTATGATATTGACCTGTGCATGTAGGTGGRCACAACAGTGTTTGGGCTTCTTTTCTTTCCATATATTTTCTAATGGCTTCATGTTTGTTCTCTTTCTCATTCATTGTATTCATTGCTTCCGGGACTTCTGCTTCTAATTCTATTTTAAGCACTCTAAGGTGATCGCGGGGAGTTTCAATGAGGTTTTTATAGATGTCTTTAACATATTCTGTAAATATACAAAAACAGAGGTATTTCATATTATCAAACTGATACCATAGATGTGATACATAATTTGTTTCCTCACCATAGTTTTGTGCAGTTTTAACTTCCCTTACAGTTCCTTCCCCATACTTGTATTTCACATATGACACTCTTAATTTTACATTTCCATTTTGGTCTGTCTTTGGGGCCCTTTCAATATTATAATTGAAATGAAGGGCAGCCAGTATTGTCCTTAAAAGGAAGTAGGTTGTTRATTTCAGTAAATGATGGCCTTATTTTTGAAGYGCTAATAYGAAGCACATTACAGTGTATGTTGTTTTACCTGCTCAACATCCCAAGGTATGAGTACGAGTACATTTTCGGTGCAAATTGATTGACAACAGAGTGATACCCCTCCAGGCAGCTAGTTTGTGCATCTGATGATG